AAGCCCAACTCTCATGCCATTAGAAAGAGGATCATGAAAAACCTATAAAAAAATGGTTCATGAAATTTTAGTTCACTCATAAAGCTAAAGTCCGCCTGCTCTAGCAAAAAATGCCCACTGTGCGATGATCTCACATCATCATTAAGCCCAATGAATGAACGCAAGACTATCCCTTAAAGTCATATTTACAAGAACAAAATAATGGAATTAAACGAGAAAATCTGGCAGAAGGACTAAGATTTGCATTACATTTATACCAAAATTATTATGATAAGAACCACTAGTCTTCAAAATACGATGTGAGATCATCGTAAAGTTCGACAGCCACTTGAGATAAGACGGGGAAAAGATCGTTCAAAGAAAGTTAAATTGGCTTTAATAAAAGACTAAATATTACTAAAAGAACTATTGTAATCTAGCATTTATTTTATTTCATCCAAACCCTCATCGGTTTTTCAACATGACGCATATGTGCGTTTTTAACTTGAAATAAAGTGATAGTTCTATTAATGAGTTTACTAATTAGTTCTAATTATCTAGCAAAGAGCACTAATTAAGCTAAAATAAAACCAGATCCATAATCTCCATCCCAAATTACATGTATGTTTTTTCTCATTCAAAAAAATCTCATAAAAAAACAATTTTTTTCCTTCACACTCCGCTTCACTTCATTACTGGAGCAACGCAATTTCCCTCTTGGGCTGAGGTTTCCCAGAAAATTTTTGTTGTTTCAGGTGGTGCTATAGCGATGCATAGGCAAATCGACACGTATAAATGATTGTCGATGATTTTGCTGAAAACTGAATGATCATCAAATGATTCGATGACGACTTGGCGCTTGGGTATGTTGAGTTTCTTAAGATCTCAAGCAGTTTCTTATATGATTACTACCTCAGGAACTATTTTAACAAAAAACTGTGAGTCTGACCGCATTTTCTGGCCCAAAAATCGCGGTTCTAGACAGTTTTTTTCATCAAACTGTGGTGTAAGCTGTTGATGACCGCAGCTTTTAGCTGCCAAAGCGGCTGGTATGCCACAAATTCCGATGTCTCGAGCAGTTTTTAGATGAATACTGAATTGGAGAAAACCGCATCTGGCAGTGGTTTTTTTATAAAAAACGGCGGTTCTAGGCAGTTTTCCGAACAGTATCAAAAATAATGTAGGCGGCTGCTGGCCGCGGTTTTGAGCGACCAAAGCGGTTATTTTCACACAAATGCGAGTGACTCAAGCGGTCTTTTTACATCCCTTGTAGCCGGTCTTTTAGGCGGTTTTCTGTGCTTTTTTTTTATAAGTTTAGGCCGCCGATAACCGGTACTCATGGCCGCTTGAGCCGTCGACAATCGCTACTTGTGACGGGTGAACCGCCGACAGCCGATGCTAATGGCCGCTTGGGCCGCCAACAACCGGCACTCATGACCGCCTCGGCCGCCGACGACCGCGCGGTCAGCGGTTTTTTTTGTGTGCTTGGGCATCGAATAAAATAAACACGATTGATTCATTGTTAAGGCCTAACCTGTAACAGAGACATTCTCATGGAAGCTCGTAGACGAAACCAATTTAAGTAGCGATTATCCTGAGCTATCGCTGTCTAAAAAGATGTCTGAATATGCAACGCATATTTTCCTTGGAGAGAAAATCAACTAGAGAACATCTAAACTTCGCTCATGCCTCAGAATACGGTGCGCGGCGCTTGCTTCCCTCTATTGATGTTTCTCTGTGGTATTCGAGATCGTGTGTCGCCATCGATCAGCCGATCGAAAGCGCATTGTTTGATTATCTTTTCTTGTTATCCCTTCTCGTTCATTAGCTGTCGATGCACGCAAGTGCAGTTCAGTTGAGAAATAAAAACAAAAATAAGAAAAAGACTACGTAAAGTGTGATGACAACGAATACCATCGCATTGTTGTCTGTTTTGAAGAAAAACAAAGGCATCATTTTATTACAGATTTGCATGCAATCAACAAGAGTCGATTTGTATCGAGTAATCTTGACAAAATCTATCGTGATCTATCCGCTGTCTGTGGAACCAGATGCCATTTTTCAAAGAAAACTGAGAAGTATGATTAATTTTGGGCGCCACTGTATATGAAAAGAAAGAAAGAATCGTCAGAAGAAACACACTTTTAATCAAGCACTAGCAAGTATTCGATCTTGCAAGATGTTTACAATACAGTTCCGTTGATGTGATTGCAAGATGGAATCTATTGTTGATCGAAATTAAAGTGTGCACTGAAATTAATTTTTCAACACATAAAAAATAGTGCGTATAGAAGAGTCTTCTACGACTTCATGTCCGCATTGCCAGGGCGCACGATGAGAACGCACTCCGAGTGTGCATGTCATAACATTGCTATAACTCATTGTGCACGTTGCTTATTTTTCTCATTCATCCAATAAAGTTAAGTCATATGATACTGAATCGACATGATTCAAATCAACAACAAAATCGTAAGCTCGGTTAAATCTGCCGCTACAAATGGTGCTCCACGTCTTCTACCACGCATAACACGTGTTAGCAAATCGTCGAAGCCTCCTCCTCAGAATTTTGAAACGAACACAAGACCAACGACAGCAAAATCTGACAACACGATTCACATTAAAATTCGACTACCTGCAAGCACTGCTTCGGACGATATTACCGAGAATTTGCCATCGGTCCGATATGATAGAGTCTTAGTTATTTATGCATCTATTTTATTTCTATCTGCATAGTTCTCATCTACTCTGGCTACTGGTTACCATCGAACGCAAGCTAATCAATCTTTTATTTGTCAAAAGTCATCATCACAGCCGCAGAGCAGGATAGGAGCTGTCAATACTCCAGTACCTATTCGGCATGATCAACCGTTGTTGAAAGTGAGTGTGAAGAGGATCAGAATAATATCTGCCTCAGAGCAACATTTTGTCTATTAAATGTTTTGCAGACTGTGTCCGTTATTACTCAGACAATTATAGAATTTGTTAGTTATTTCATATGAAAAGGATGGAAGTAGCTTTTAAGTGCAACATCTGTTGAATTTAGACAGAGATTGAGCTCGAACCAGACCGGACTCCAGCTGCTCGGGATCGGTATATACCTAGTTGACTTTTAAGTTGAATAGGCTTAATGTTTGCCGCGATATTTCAGAATAGTGAGGGAAATGATTGCCATGTCCGGCAATAATCAGGATAGTAGAAATGCGAGTCGATCGACTGAGCCGCGATTGACGATGATAGAAAACTTCAATACATACAATTGTGTAGAACTCGACGAGCTCTATCGAATCATCTAAGAGTTTTCAAGAAAAAAGGTTTTATCTCATTTCTGAGTTACTGACATCTTTGTTTCCTACGCCAACCATATATGAAATTTCTCAAAATTCCTCAAGTTCGACATCACAAAGTTCATAAAACCGTTATTATTTAATACCGGTATTAGAATCACAGTTGAGACACGTCTAATATCGAACTGGCTCAAGTGAATCTTTAGTTCGAGAATGGACAAATCCAATCCCGAACTAGGTGGAGAGTATGAGTTATAACTCAAATATAGACCGACGTCAGATTCAGACTCCTAGAGATGAACTCTGATCAAGCAATAGTATTTCAGGTAATACAATCATTAATGATCGAACTAAGTGAATAATCAAGCAATTAGGGACTGTTTTGTACTGAAGCAGTTCTTATCTATAAAACTGTTCATGAGTTCATGGACCCAAGTGTGATTGACCAATTGATGATTGCATCAAATAGCCTGCCATCGCTTGATCTACAATATCCGATAGATTTTAGTAAAAACTTTTACATCGGCCGCATAAGTGAAGCTTAAATATCACTGCTCCGTTTTTGCGAATCCTTTTTTAACTAGAAAATAAATGAAATATTTGCGGTTTCAACTCTTCGACATTTGCATAGCACTTTGAAGTCATAGATTTAAATTTTATAGTTGACCGAGCAACCATGGAATGCTATTTGGATGATATAGTTTCTTTTCATAAGAATGTATTCGGTGCTCGAGCAAGTCACTTTCAACTACCCTTAAAAATATATCTGCATTCTTTACAGGTAACGAAAAGCTCATCTAGTATTGATTGGTTGTCCAATAATGAATTCTCAATTTGTCGATCACAAATAACTCCTAGCGACCACTCTATAGGTTTTATTAACATTAGAAATGAATTGATAAAAAGAAATAAGTAAGAGGATAAACATTGGAAGCTGTTTAATACTTATAAGTATTAAACACGGAGGATGAATATATTCATCCTCCGTTTTTGTCTTCTCATCTTTAGACGGAACAAACGCAGAAGACGTACGGCCGGTTTTCCTGCCTGGTGTATATGCGCATGCTGTATATGCCTCGGTTTGCTAGCAGCCATCATTGCTGCGATTCTTGTGTTCGCTTTATGTAAGTACTTTTTCTATTACTTTGTTTCAAGAACTCAGTTTAAAGAAGGTGAAAGACTTGCCAATAGTTACATTTGACATCTGAGTTCTTTTAACGTGAAACATCTCTCTAATTCTTTTTTGTAGCTTAAATATAGCAAAGACTCTCGTGAGAAGAATTAACTGAATATGGAGGTTTCTTTTCGCTCTTAGAAGTGTCACTTTGGAAATTTCATACCTACCTTCCCATATTTTGATGAAGTAAAAAAAATCTTTAGCATACACTGAAAAACAGAAGTGCCATACGGAACGTTCTTTTTCAACAAAATATGAAACTTTTTTAAAGTATCGAAACGTGTATGGAAATCTTGTTATGGTCCATACTGTGCGTAACGCATTTTAGAGTTTCTTCAACTAGAATCAAAATGCGCTTACTTCTGAGCAGCAAAACAGAGCGAAAGAATACGATATAAAGAAATCACGATTTAGAGAAAAAGAAGGTAGTTTTACTCGCTAATCAAGAAAATAATTATTTCAGGATAACCAAAAGTTCAAAGCTCGGTGTTTTAAATTTTATAAAATGGTTAATATTGAAAGTGTTATTGCAAGAGTCCATAAAATAAAAAAATTTAATGATTTGATTTCATTAAACATCTATAGTAGTCATCATTACTAAGAGACGGTCCATGACTTGATCGAGCATCGCCGTCATAAGTAAATTTTGGACATACGCTTTTTATGTTCTCGAAAGAAAGCCCAAACAAAATTACCTACGAAAACGAAATTTCAGCCTCATTGGACGTATTCCTGAGAAATCAAAGAGGAAACACTGCGAGGGAGTCGGTCTCACAGCCATATACCGACCAGTTCTAGTATTTTAACAATATCTCAATAGCCATTCGACGAATTGAGCCGTGTAAGATCTCAAACGATAGATAATTGTTTTCTCTACGTATTCGTGAATTGCCGGTCATTCGAGATGTTGAAGGGTGTTCTCTTCTATTATTCCAGCACCAAAATCCTGAAACTCGAATGTGCAAATTTTGACGTATTCGGCGTCTCACACCTCACCATCAGGCGGGCCCACAAATATTATTCTTGCTTTCGATAGAACTTAAAAATCCCTTTCTGTATTGAAGATATGACGATTAGTGTAGTAACGAAAATTAATAGGAAAGCTTATTCTTCGAGCTGACATTCGAAGTGTTGCTGATTATGTTTGTCTAATAGTTCGAGTTTACTGACGTTATTTTTCCTTTAAATCTGGAATATCGGCATTCATCAGCAAGAATAATCTTCTTTTATACTTAAGATTCAACAAACACTACAACAATAACGACGTCAGCAATTACAACAACAGCAACAGCAACAACAATGACTACTACTACAACTACGGCAACTACTACAACAACAGCAACAACGAGTATGCCCATTTGTTCGATGTTTTAGTCACCGTGGTTGCGTATGGGCACGTTGTCGATAGGGACCAATGATTACGTTGATCTAACGAGAAGCCTTTCAACGATTACTGCCTCGCTCTTTAAAGGCATTCCCCCCTTTGCCGGAGGTTCTGGAGAACGGCTCTTTAGAGAATTCTGAAACTTTCAGAGCAGATAGATGTTAGGTATTAGATAAAAAGTTGTGTTAGACTCTAGCTCGAGTAGTGTTTCCTTCAACGAGATCTACGGACCAGAAGGGCTGAAGTTTGCTCCCTTGTTTCCGAAACGCTTTGACCTATTCAGCTGAAACTTCTTTGTGACATCTAAGATCCAATCGAGGAGTGTACACAGTGGGTCAAAAGTAACAAGAAATACTTTTTTCGATTTTTTCCCTGCACACATCGACAGTTACATGTCGTATCTTTACCGCATATAGTCGATAATACTAGTAAAAGATGTGGCATATGATCTGTCTTTCAACGTAGTAATTTATTGCAGAGCGTACAAGCATCTCTGAATCATTGTTTAAGACAATGTAAGAGATTCGAGCACGTTTTTCCACATCCACGACCGGTAGCTTTAAGGAGACTACAAGAACATCGTTTCCCAATATCTCATGAATGCAATACTTAAATTTCCCCGCGTAACACCGGGTACTCCCGCTAGTTAACCATAAACGA